GGGGTTCTTGGAAACAGTCTTTTTACTTTTAGTGGGGGTAAAGTCTGCGTATTACTCCCTCCGTCCCCCATAGATCTTCCCAATAGTCCTTTTTCTTTGTCCACAATAGATCTTCTCATTTCATTTTTTAACAATTAAAATACTACGACTACACTCACTTACTTTATTTATTACACCTCACCCACCTCATTTAATACACTCCACCCATTTTCATTAAGGGTATTATGGTAAACTTTCACCTTTTTTCAACTCTGCTTAAAAACCACCAAAAGTCAAAATGAGAACATCTTAGGGGGACGGAGGGAGTACATTTTTTAGCCAAATTTTAAATTCATCAAAAAATTTCCAAATTTGACATGAATATTTCTATTTGCATGTAAAATTCTTTGTAAAAGGTTCATGTAAAAAACCGGTCAATAATGCTTAAATTATAACTTTTTTAGTTTTGGCCTCGTGCTCTAGGGGTACCATCACATTTTTTGGCCAAATTTTAAATTCATCAAAAACTGCTCAAATTTCACATGAATATTTATATTTTCATGTAAAATCCTTTGTAATAGTTTCATGTCAAAAAGACTTGTGATTAATGTCTGAATTATTTTTTTAAGTTTTGGCCTCGAGCTCTATGAGTACGATCATATTTTTTGGCCAAATTTTAAATTCATCAAAAACCTTGCCAAATTTTACATGGATATTTTTATTTGCATGTAAAATCCTTTAAAAAATTTCATGTAAAACAGACTTGTTAAAAATGTCTAAATTATAATTTTTTTAGTTTTGGCCTTGAGCTCTAGGGATACCATCACATTTTTTGGCCAAATTTTAAATTAATCCAAAAATTCCTAAATTTGACATGGATATTTATATTTTCATGGAAAATCCTTTTTAAAAGTTTCATGTCGAAAAGACTTATCATTAATGTTTAAGTTATTATTTTTTTTAGTTTTGGTCATAATTTCTGTTGGCCATGTGTGCAGCAATTGTCCCGTGGCGGAGGCTATGTGGGCCAAGTCACAGTCGAATGTCGTGGGCGCTTGTCTGTTGAATGCACTATAAGGCTAGGGTATGCGCCTCTTCTAACACCAATTGGTTTTAGAAGAGTTGGTAGCGCCTGAGGTCCTACAAGTGGTATCAGAGCCAAGGTCACGAGTTCGATTCCCAGCGGGAGCAATTGCTGAGGGGGAGATTGTTGGCCATGTGTGCAGCAATTGTCCCGTGGCGGAGGCTATGTGGGCCAAGTCACAGTCGAATGTCGTGGGCGCTTGTGTGTTGAATGCACTATAAGGCTAGGGTATGCGCCTCTTCTAACACCAATTGGTTTTAGATGAGTTGGT